CCCACGGCTATCGAACTCGAACTATGACAACATCAATGAACTTGACTGGCCATCCGACTTGTCGTGTGTGAACAAAGCCCACATTATAGTTATGTGTTAACTCACGTAATGGTGTGAACATCTTTCGTTTTAAACGTCATTTTATTTAATTATATTTATTACAAATTTTAAATACTTTTAATTAATTTTTATAATTATGTACTAGATACTTAATTTTATAAATATTTCTGTAAAATAAAAACATAAATATGAACAATATAAATGAAACATTTTATTTGGATTTAATGATCATTTACGAGTACATAAAGAAATAGTTTATTTATAATTTACTTAAAATTTTATTAACTATTCGTAATGTTTTATTATTTACAATTTATATTTTTTTATATATTATTTTATTTACCTTTTATATATTTATTTAATTGTATATATACATATATATTCCTTTATATAATTATTTATATATGCTCATAATAATCATCATTTTCTGTTATTTATATACATATTATTTATTCATAATATAATATAAGGTTGACTAGTAAAGCATGCTACTAGCATTAAGTCCGCCTTTTGTAGTATATTTTCTTATGGCAATAAAGTATATATATATATATATATATATATATATATATATATATATATATATATATATATATATATATATATATATATACATATATATATAAATACAAATCCCAACATACCAACAACTTAAATTTTACATTTATAATATTGTAAATCTCATTAATATGAGTATTAATCGCTGTTTGCTTTTATTTTTAAAGATGGCATTTCCAACAACATTGACCCATTTAATATAGGGTTTTAAGTAAACTTGCAACTGGATTGCGTGTTCTGAGTTCTTAATTTATTCATTAACTGGATATAAATTTATTATATACTTTATGGTCAATGGTATTATACAACTAGTAATTACTGATAATATAATATCGCTTGACTAATTAACCTACCAGTTAATAGTAGGTATGTACCTACATTTATAATTGTGGCATGAACCTAGTTTGTTGCTAAAATAAACTTTGACAAATAAATACTAAGACAACCAGAAAGCGACATCTATAAATCAAATCACATCAATAATATATATATATATATATATATATATATATATATATATATATATATATATATATATATATATATATATATATATATATATACTTAATTTTAATATTTTAGTTTTTAATATTTATTATTAATTATGTCTAATTTATTTATGTAAAATATACATCTTTACACATAATTAATTAGGATTAATAATAAAATAAATTAATATATATTCAATGTCATACATAATCTAGACACTATTTGTGAATTTCAAGATTAACCACCACTAACAAGCTTCAATTAATAATATATCAAATAGATATTTAGATATCCTATATATTCAGATATTTAATGTATAAATTTTACTTTCTTATTTTATAAATAGTTATATATCTAAATACATATATTAGGCTAATGTGTTGATAGAAATATTTCTTAATTATTTCGCATATAATAAATGGTACATTTCTACCATATAATTACTTAGATATTATTACAATATAGTCAAACCCGCTTGCCAAGTGTAGCAACTACTGGCCAACCCCCTTTTACGTGAGATGCCTATGTTCAGTAGCGAACAGTCAACGGCTAATATGATAATGAATTAGGAGGTAAAGGGAAATTTAATAACTCAATATCGTACAAAACTAAAACACACTTTGTTACAACAATCTTGGCTGACACTAAGAAATTATAATTAAGTCTAAATTATTTACTTTTAAATAAGCTGTACATCTGTATAATATAATTAATTAGATGTAATAAAGACGTAAATAAACATTTAAGTCAATGTTATATGTATAAGATCAAAATGCACTTTGTTACAACCGTCTTGACCGTCACTAAGAATATTTTATGTCTAAACAATTTAATTTTAAATAAACTCTACATCTCTATAACATAATTAATTAGATGTAATACAAAATTAAATTAATATTTAAGTCAACGTTATACAAAATAAAAATGCACTTTCTTACAACAATCTTGACCGACACTAAGAAATTTTATGTCTAAATAATTTCATTTTAAATAAACACTACATCTCTATAAGACAATTAATTAGATATAACAAAGAATTAAATGAATATTTAAGTCAGCATTATACAAAATCAAAATGCATTTTCTTAATACAATGTTCACTGACCCTAAGAAGTTTATATTATGTCCATATATATATTATTAAGAGATGAGCCTTTTTCAAGTAGAAAAATCTGTAATATTGCGATCTTTCTATGATCTTTTGTGCTTGTCCTTTTTTAAAGTTTGCATTTACTTCCTATCAGTGATAGGAATTTTAAAAAGTTCCTTGTAGCAATGTTTTTACCTCCTCAGAATATAAAGTATATCTTACAAAGCAGATATGTCGTTTATGTATAATTGGGACACAGTCACAAATTAATTATATCTAAATTAGTTCATCTTAAGTAAACTTTACATCCCCATAATAGAATCTAATTAATTAATTTAATTAAAAATGTAATAAAAAGGCAAATGGGTATTTAAACAAATGTCGTATAAAATTAACATCCATTTTGTTACAACAATCTAGTTCGCTAACAAAAACTTATTACAAATTTAACTAAATTGGTTCATTTTAAATGAACTGTGAATCTCGATGACATAATTAATTTAGACGCAATACAAATGAACATTTAATTCAACGTCATACAAAATCAAGTCACATTTTGTTAGAACAATCTCTAAAATTCAATGTTTTACATTCAATTTGTCAATTAGTGTCATTCTATCATGCATCACTTGGATCTTTAATGTATAATTAGTATAAATTCCTAATAAGTATTCTTGCATTCTTGAATATAGTTATTTGATACAGGTGAATAAATATGCAAATTATTTGGTATTATGAATATATTAATCAGATAATATGTTAGGATATATTAAGACAAAAACTTTAGTACAACGGTGTTTCCAATAGTAAAGTTGCCAATCTTCTATTTACAAATTCTTATATATACGGATCATCATCATCATCATCATATCAGCCTTTAACTGTCCACTAATGAACATAAGCCTCCCCATTACAAGGAATAGAAACTTGTCAAAATCAACAGGATGTCATATTAACTATGTTGCCAACATTAGCCACAAATACTAAATCAAACAATCAATATTTTTACTCGGTGTCATAAAATACAATATATTTTGTAACGCTCTGTAAAAGCATAGCAATATAAGCAAAGAGCTTGACCAGTTTATATTTAGTTAATGCGAGTATACATATATACTATACATATATGTATAGTATGTATACTTACATATGTCTTTCATAATTTTCTCTCAATTTATGGTCGCGCACCACCTGCATCCTTCGACTTCTTGATACAATATTATTGTATTATAACTACATAGTATTTACATTTATATACAGTAAGAAGTAATTACTATGACATTATTTCTGACAGATAGTAGAGGCAGCCATTCAAACCGAAGCGACTTCGCCTCGACATTGCATTCATTGGTTCGATTTCGAGGTTACACAAAATTAACGGATACGGAAGCAAAGCTCAATCGATACCTAAAGTTTCCAACCATATAATTTCCATTTAGCCTACAACTCTTACGCCATATAGCGGCTTATAAATCTGCGTAATTCGATTATCGATTATTTTAAGCAATAATCGACCGTTAATCAGATGAAAACGCAAAAACGCAAAGGTCAGTGAAATTTTGTTCAGTTGGCGTGGAATCGGTTTATTTGTATTGAGCGTTTAGAATTTTTTGTGATTTATTTGTCATTGTGCTAGAACTCGTAATTATTATTATTTCCAATATTAATAAACTTTAAATATATAAATATAATAATAATAGTAACAAATAAACAGTAATAAAAAATAGGAAATAAATATTTTCTAGATAAGCGCGCCCTGTCCTACATCCTAGCCTTACCTTAACATCAAGTGAGCTAAGGTCAAGCGAAAATCAATCTTGTAATAAAAAAAAAACTTCTAACTATTAATCATCAACTGTCAGCCTCTTTTAAAATAGAAACTGATTTAGAACTAAATTTAGAAACCAGAATTCTCTAATATAATTTACATGTCATCAATTGTGATTTATATTGATAAAAGCACATAAGATCCTATGAATGAATGAATAAATGAATTAATGAATAAATATTTATTTATAAGAAACATGGTAAGTATGAGTATAGTAGATGTTAACAATAGGTATAAGTCCTCATATTTCGCCATAATTAGGCATGCAAAATTAAATTTTTTTCATACAACTTAGTATGGCAAACCAACTGACGGCCCACCTGATGGAAAGTGATAACTGTCGCCAATAAACATGAGTGGACATAACAGAGTATACTGTTTTGCCCATGATACCCCCCATGCATTGTTCTAAAGTATAAAAATTAATTGAATGGGTCATTAAAACAATTAGTAATATTACAAAAAAATACAAGATGGACTACAAATAATAGTTTCCTCTCACGAATGCTCAGGTTATAAAATAAACTCCCTGTCGACGTTCTTCCAAGTAACTACAGCATGAGGTTCTTCAAAAAAAGGATAAAGAGCTTTCTTCAGAATAGACAACGAGAGCATAATGCCCCTAGTTCATAGTCTACGTCAACAGCTTACCATCAGGTGAGTGGTATGTGTTTGCTACCTCAGTGGTATAAAAAAAAATAGCTGCCTAAAGATCTGCACGTTGAAAAGAGTCCTTAAAAAATCCTAATATAAATAATTCCAGTTCTATTATGCCAAAGGATGACTAGTAAAGAATGTTATATAACATTAAGTCCACCGCTTATATCAAACTTTTTTTTTGTACTATCAATAATGTATAAGTAAATAAAATAAAACTAGAAACCCCATTTACGCAAAGTAACACGCTCACCACTACACCTCATAGATCGTCAAATAAGTTGGTAGTGAAATAAGTGATAAAGGTTGGTGACTGACCTGCGTGGTTCGAAGGGCGCTGGTGACAGCAAGCAGAGCCAGCGCTGCAGCGCTCCACCACACGCTCGCCCGCATCTTGTATACACTGAAACAATTAATTTTTCATTATTAACAAAAAGAATTTGCTTTGTAATAAAGGCAATATTAATAATATTAATACTGAAGTAGGTGCTATTTTGAGGAATTTTCTATTACTGGTCATTTGATTATAATTATTTTGTTTAATTCCGCTCCCATTACTATGTCGCAACTGCTAACACTTGAAATTTGACTATTATTATTATTATCAGAAGTTCTATAACCATAGTAGCCATCTCCGACTGTCATTTCGTCCACGCACCTTCATGCCAAACTTCACAATTTAAGCGCCACTAGGCTCCGAGAAGAGATCTATTGATTTGCCTAAATATTTCTTCGTTTAGAGATAAAACACGTGTCGCAAATCGTGTCAAATACTGTAAGAGGTAACCATTCATTTCCGTTACACCCTTTATATTTAACTGCTTTATTATACTACAACACAATAACAATAGATAAATATTTCTTTCTAAATAACATAAACCATAAATAACTACAAATCTATCGAAATGATCGTAACTAATTATCGTCTTTGATTCTTTATGGAAATGTAGACATTTTTATGCCTAATATTAACCATAGACATGGATAGAGATAGATGGAGTAAGTACTTCAATTTAAAAAAATCCAAGTTTATCGCTACTGAAGTACTCGTCGGAATATTATAAAAGTACTTTATTGATATCAACCCCTGTTTTCTGATTCTAAATTAACTATTCCAAAAGTACTGTATTTTATGTTTTTTTATAGTATTCGCGTTGTATTTTAGTGTGTGTAATGGCAGACATTTTGAAAGAATTTACTGCTTACTCGGTAGAATGAGATTTTTGGAGTACAAATCAATATATTTATCATTCGTGATACTTTCTCACGATCAAACGTGTTGTCGAATTCATCAGTTATGTTTAGTAATTTATTTCCATAACTTTAAACCGACTTCAAAAAAGAAGGAGGTTCCCAATTCGATAGTAATTTAATCAAAATCGATTCTGTAGTCTAGTTTTTAATTCAAAATGACTTGTTTTATCACGATTGATGTCGGTGTTTTTGTTGTACAAAATCTCAAATTATAATAAACTGTCATCCATACCGAGATATTACATGCAGAATGTAGACATCAATTTAACTAACCGAATAATCCGATTACAGATAAGAGCTTAGTTTAGATCAAAGATTAAATATCGATACTTTAATCACCATAACCGCCTATATATATATATATATATATATATATATATATATATATATATATATATATATATATATATATATATATATATATATAGTGTTCTTCTGTAAAGGTTTGTCCATGTTTGTATTAATATTGATATGTATCAATTTTTTTATAATTGGTCATAACATAATCCAATAGTCACTAAGTAATCCTAAGGATCCTAAACAAGCGTTTTTACACTCTTCTTACACGGACTACAAAAACTAGTTATGCCAGACACTTCTCTCCTTCTATGATCCCATATATATATATATAATAAAATTTACAAAATTTGCAATCTTAAAAACTGTTAAAAAGAAGTCTTAAAAAGAAACAATATCAAAAGTAAGTATATATCTGAAGTCTTTTTTTTTATACAACTTAGAATGGCAAACAAGCTGACGGCCCACCAGATGGAAAGTGGTAACCGTCGCCTATAGACATGAGCAGTACCATGGACATAACAGTACACACACATACTGTTTCGCCCATGATACCCCCCATGCGTTGCCATTCCTAAGGACTCAGATGTTATTCCTCTGTACCCAGTAAATTCACGCCATATCCCACCCTTCAAACCGAAACACAGCCATGCAAACACAACTGCTTCACGGTAGAAACACGAATGGGACAGAGGTACCCAAGCAATCGACTTTTGTACAAAGTCTCCCTCTGGTCTATGAATTATGACGATATTGAAAACATGCTCATATTAATTATATAAATAAAAATACCGTTCACATACACACAAAAGACACACACACACACACAGGCACGCACGCACGCACACACATACGCATGCACCATCGCACTACATAATACTTACCCATACATATCCTGCAGCATGCACAAATCTTTATGAGTTTATTAGTGGTGAGATCTAAATAAAAATAACTGTTTTATATAAATTAGTAAATAAACAATTATCAGTACTACTAAAAAAATATCAGTGCTAGTAAAAAAGCTTAAGTTAATTTCTGTATGCATGTATCTGATAATACGAATCCTGTTTCCTACAGGACAGGCTTAGCCTAGTGTAGGAATCAATGATAAATTCTGTATTTATACAAACATACTTTGTTTATAGTACATTACTGCAGCGGTCAAAAACACAATTTTACTTTTTAAGTTCAATGACGAATAACAAACAATAATAATTTTTCACGCGCCATAATTTTTCTTTTGTTTTTTTTTTTTTAATAAACAGCTTTTTATTTGCAAGCCAGTTCGAAATTTAAATAAAACATTTTATTAGGTACCTCCTTGGTAGCCATGTTTGAAGTAAAAGGTCATTCCATTTTTAAATTACAGGACAGATATAAGTTTACATAGTAATTTATCTGGCCGCAAAACACGACAGATATGGATTTTCATACATCTTTTGCCAGCCGCTGCCCGCATGTATCTGGTCAGTACGGCAATTTTGATTTATGTCGAAGAAGATTATCAAAATAATGCTCACATTTCCAAGCATGTTTGAGAAAATAAATATATCTTTATCTTTTGACCTCAGCAGGTGCGACATCTATTTACACGCATGTCTATGGTACTGATAAATAAAACTAAACATATTACGGTACGATGACCACTCACCATATTGATAAATGTAAGAGGGGCCCCGCTTCGTATCAGTTGTAGGCACGTCACTTTCGCTCTCTAAATACTTACGACTACTTTCATTTTCATATAATTATGTTACAATAAGACTATTTAGCCGGCTGATATAGTTTCCGTTAAATATAGCATCGTACACACAGTTTGTACCTACTTATGTCTCATACACACACACGTATACACACACATATACACATATAAGTTTCATAATCATTGTAAAAATATTAAGACATGATTACTTTTTAAGTGACATGAAGAAAAAGAGGTTCTAAATTTAATGGTATTTTTGTGTGCATGTTATGGTGTTGCGCGACATATTTGATTACTAGCTGTGTCCCGCGACTACACCCGCGTGAATATAGTATATAAGTTCTCCTATGCGATGAATTAGGATACAAATACAACCTACCTGTATACCAAATCAAAACAGTTTAGTAGTTTTTGCGTGAAAAAATAATAAACATCCATCCATTCTTTAATTTTTACAAAATTTCGCGGTTATAATATTAATAGAATTTTGGATTGATTTTGATAAATGAATAAATGAATGAGTATACTTTATTTGTATTGTACAGGGAATAAAGCAACATAATCAATAAATAGAACATATATTCTTGTATATGTAAATAAATAGATACCTACTCTTTATTGTTTCCTCCAAAAGAAACAAAAACACTTTTTTTTTTATACAACTTAGAATGGCAAACAAGCTGACGGCCCACCTGATGGAAAGTGATAGATAACCGTCGCCTATAGACATGAGCAGTACAATGGACATAACAGAGTATACTGTTTCGCCCATGATACCCCAAATACATTGCCATTCCTGAGGACTCAGGTATTATGGATACAAACAATTACACGAAATGATCATACATGTATAGTAAAGGAGTCTTATTACTGAATGCAAACTTTTCAAGATTTTTTTTTTGTTTTGAAATCAATTGATAAAGTCCTTACTATACATGAGTAAAATACTGAATCGATTTTGAAGAACTTTTAAAAATGGAATAAATACTTTATGAACCTTAAAATGACAAACAAACTAATGGTCCGCCTTATAACAAATGCCTATAGACTTGAATATCTATATATATATCATCATCTTCCTACCCTTATCCTAATTATTAATTGGGGTCGGCGTAATATGGTTTTATCCATATTACAAAAGGATTTAGCTTATAGTTTTACGACCGGCCGCCTGCCTGACGGCATATATATATATATATATATATATATATATATATATATATATATATATATATATATATATATATATATATATTGCACCATAGATATTACAAAAATGATTGAGAGATGGACAGCAGCGTCCCTCTGGAAACATCATCAAAGCCTAACTGCAGTTGCCAACCCGCCTTTCAAGCATGGCAAAACTTCCCAAAAAGGAAAAAAGAGAAAGAGAGAAAAGAAAGAGAGTTAACGGTTGATATAATAATACTGCACTATACGCATCACAAATGGAATAAAAATACTGCAATATCCATTTTTACAATCAAATTTCAGTTAAATCCATTCATTCGTTAAGCGTGATTAAGTAACAAACATGCAAACATCTTTACGTACTTTCACATTTATAATATTATTTATGATTTATCGGAGACATTGCGTCGATGCGGTGCAGGCATGCGCGTGAGTGCAACTGTTGCAATTAGCTTTCGCTGTTGACCACATCGACTACCTAGTTGCTATGTGGAGCGATGACACAGCTGATGCAATGCTATGCTTATTAGAAATTAACCAGTTCATACCACAATACCATTTGGATGGCCCAATTTTATGGTTAACTAGCTTCTAACTCCGACTTTGCATGACCGGAATACGTTCTCTGACCGAGATAAAAAGTAGCCTATGTTCTTCTCCATATAATATAGTAACATCACCACAGACATCATCTGTTCACTGTTGAAGATAGGCCTCCCCATAGACTGGTACAAGAAATGGTCCTGAGCCCCCTGCTTCTACTGACTTATAGTACGTGTTTGTTATACGGTCCCGGCATAGAATAGGCTACGCCTTCCGGTCCTCGTAAGAGGCGACTAAGGGAGCTTATGGTCGAGGGATGGGCAGCAACGTCCCTCTTCAAAAATCTCCTGAAAAATCCAAAGCCTAACAGCGGTTGCCAATCCGCCTCCCAAGTGTGGCACCTACTAGCAACTTCC